GCCATCCTGGTGCTCGAGGACCTCTGCGCGGTCGGCTACCGCTCTGGTGACCGCAACACTGGGATGGACCTGGACCACTGTAGACTGGCGGTTAGTCAACGAAATATAATCAATACGAGTAGATGACGGTGCTACATACTACATACTCTTCATACTATTGTTCTGCGACTTGTACGTCAATAAGTGGGCTGGGGCCTGGGCCGTGCCCTGCCCCACACACCCCGGAAAATTTCAAAGTTATAATGCTGTGCAGTAAATTTCCTTCTGGGATGTGTGTTCAGCATCGACTCATTACACACGACTGTAGAAGCGTTCTGACACATTTTTATATTTATATTTAGTTTCAGTATGAAATATTTTAAACGTATCATCTGCTGGCTGAAAATTACAATTTGCTTGTCTTGAATATATAGTGACGTACTCCTCTGCCTAGCGTCGCTCACTCCGAACTCGTTTGGTCCTTCCCCCAATAGCTGCGCGAGCTCGCTCACCTCCACGCGCTGGGCATCGTCATGCGCCGCCTGCGTCCCGAGGTGTTCTCCGGCAGGGCCTTCCAGGAGACGTGCCACCACTTCATGCACGACAGGATGGACGTGTATAAGGAGGAGATGCGCACGTTGGAGGACACCGTAGTGAAGCAGGTGCTAGAGGAGGTGCCCGAGGTGCTCACCTTGCTGGACGAGAACGCGTTGCGCAAGGGGATTGGCACGCTCTCGAGCAGGGACACCACGCACCGGAAGGAGCCCTTCTACACCGTGGTGCACAATGACTTCTGGGTCAACAACATGATGTTCGCGTACGACGACACGATCGGCCGGCCCGAGCGCCTCAAGATGGTCGACTTTCAGATCACAGAGATCGGCTCGCCAGTGCGGGACCTGCTCTTCTTCATCTACTCCAGCGCCGACTCGGACGCTCTGGCCCGCGTCGACGACCTAATGAGGGAGTACCACGCCGAGCTGGAGCGCTACGTCCGGCTCCACGGCCTCGACGGTGACGACCTCGGCTGGACCGCGTTCCAGCGGGAGCTTGAGGCCGTGGCGCCCGACGCAATGGGCCAGCTCATGCTCATGACGTCCATCATTCGAGCCCAGAACAAGGTGGAGAAGACCGACAACGACGACGACACCTTCGCCAGGCTCGGCGTGAGCGCGCCTGCCAAGACGCGCTACCTAGAGATCGTCAGGGACTTTGCAAAGAAGGGCTGGGTCCGGTGAGGAGGAGAGATCAAATAAACGATCTGTACCTCAAATCGAAATTCTTTCGTTATTTCGAAATTTGATCTGTACAGGACGGTATGGTACGGTACTGGTTACCGGAAGAACTCCGACCCTGCCCGCGGATCTGACCGTTGCTGCCGGTGACCAATGGACTGCCTTTAAAAATACATCAGACTTTTGCATTTGTATTTCCATAATGAATTGTAATTTTGTTATAAAAAATAAAGAAAATCTTAAGAAAATGTAGCGTAATTTTCGTGGAGGAAGGACGTAATTACATACGTTATATGACGCCCCACCGCAGCAAGAACAGTTTACCCTTTACACTTGAAACCTACCGTCAGAATATCCGAAAAGGGCGGGTCTGGCTGCTGCCCATAGCGGTACCATTTTAAAAAAATAATTGTATCTTCAATTTGACAGAATGAAAATTTGTCCCGTAGAAAAAACCAGTTTGTAACTACTCATGATTAAAAGTTTCACCTTGCAAGAGCAGACGCGTCTTGGACTACGTCCATCCATGGACTGAACTCACGACTTAACTTGTTGCTTGTCGTTTTGAGCGTAGCTCCTGACAGGAGCGAGCAATGCATACGTGTACTGCGTGGCAACCTCCCCGAGTGTAGCAGGCTTCGCCGAGTGAACCTGAGAGAACGCGCGTATTTTTAAACGATCCCTGAAATATTTTATAAAGTTATGTTTGACCCAGTTTTGTGTGCGGCGGGAATGGGAAATGAAATCATGCCCCGTTTCTGTCCCGCCCGCCACAACCGTCACGCGGCTGCACTTGACCGCTCCCGCCGTCATACTAAATACTTTTCTGGCGAAATCCGAGCGAAATGAATGAATTTTGTGCTTGACGTGCACTCTGCACGTCGCGTCCGTGCTCTGCGCCCCTGCAGTTGGCGCACGTGATGGACCAACACTGCTCAGTAAAAAAAATCTCGAGAAAATTTTGAACATGAAGAGAAAAGAAATGATTAAAGCAACACACCAAAAGCGCCGGATGAACAAGAAGGATTAAAAGCGAAAGGCGGCGTGAACAGCAAAGAGAGAAGGGAAAATCTGTGGTGGTGTCTGTCCTCTCCGCCTCAACACCTCCGACGCATCTCTCCAAGCCACCCCTTTTGAGAGGGCGCGCGGGGGCGGGTGCCCGAGATAAAAGGGGCTAGAAAAAGCTCGTCCCTTTCACCCCTCTCCCGCCCTCCTTGTGCGGGTCGCGCAACAGAGTTGAACCTTATCCTCGTGAAGGGGTGAAGCATTGACCCCTCCAGGAGGAGGCTCTCGGGGGCCCCTATTCAATCTCCCGTTAAACGCTTTTCGCCTGAGCCCCGCCGCCCCCGTCGCCCCCGCCGCGTACAATTGGAGCCAGAGCCTGGCCGACGGTGCTTAGTGCCCGCCCGCCTGCCCGTGTTCGAGTACAGTGCTTCTCTCCGATTGTGAGATTTTGGCTCAGAAGCTAGGCTCTGCTAATTGCTAAAGCGAGTCCCCCTCTTGTTACTACTTGGACTTGCTGCCATGGGCGCCGATGGTTCCAGCTCCTTTACCTGCTGGACGCGACCCCGGCGTCGTTGTGCCCGCGCTCTGACAAGCGTTTGTGCCACACAAACTTACTGCGGATCGCCCAAGTTATTATCGATCGAAGATTTCCCGCTAGTTTGTCGACTTTCGCAGCGCAGCCCGTCCCGCAGGGATTGCGGACCCCGCTGGGCCCGAGGAATGCTGACGGAGCACGCGGCTATCACTGGGAATACCGCGCGGTGAAAGAATTCCAATATACGCTGTGCCGGGGCCAGGCCGGGTCCGGACCAGGCCGGGGGCCGGGCACACCACCGCGCGCTGCCGGGCTCTGCCCACTCGGGACACTGGCTCTATTAACTATCCCAACAGATTTGAGTGACGACAAAATTATCAGTTGTGTGATATGATTGCGAAAGAAGCTCGAAGTCCTTGCAAATTCAGATTGCCCCTCCCTACCAATGGAATAATTCACGGTCCGTTCCTTTCGAACAACTGCTCTCTGTAACGTACAAAGAATTTGAAACATTTGTAATACGAACAGAGTGTTAGTCTCTTACTATTACGAACCGAGGCTGCCCGTAATATGAAAACTTGTTTGTAATATGACTGCTCCAGATCATTGATTATGAACTTGATACTTCATAATACGGAAACAATTGTTTGTAAGGAAATTTGAAATTAAAACACATCCAGGTATTCCATGTCCTTTTTTTTAAAGTCGGCTTGCCAGCATACTTCGATGTAAGTAGTGTGACAACCAATTCAAACAACGCGAAACTAAGCCCAGATAAATGTACGAATAATGGACCATCCAGAATGTGCACCCGTCATTCGCTGCTACCAACCTGCCAAGTTCAGCTGCTGCAAGCGCTCCTAACGCCTTGTAGGTAGGCAATATCTCGTCGGTAGTGCTTACGTGTGCTGCGGGCTAGCCTACGCTGAGTCTCGCGGGCGCCGAGCTCCACGCAAATTTTCCGACTAATTTTGAGAAAAGCAGGCGCACTTTCTGTTCGATCCCTTTTACCCAAAAGATTTGCTCATGATTCAACCCACTTTCCACCCACACAAAAACTCTTTGACTTTTCATGGTAGGAGTTTGATTTTGAATCTTGCGGAAATGTTTCGTGGGATCAACGGAAACGATTTTTTAAGGTGTTATATGTTGAAGAAATGGTAAAAAAATTTGAGTGAATACTTTGTTTTTCATTTTTATCTATTCCTTTATGCCGTCAACGTTCAAAGTGTCTTGAATTATGCAAACTTTTTATTATTTTATTTCGAAGAGAAGGCTGATGTTAGATGGCACCACGCGGCCCTCAAAAGGAGAGAAGGTTCCCGGGACCTCTGTCTCTCGCTCGTTTATTTCATTTGCTCTCTATGTTGTGTTTTCCACATTATTCTCTTATCTTTCGCTGCCGGATGTACGGCGGCGCTGCCCTCGTCATTTTCCGAAAGACTTCATCTGCTTTCCGGTCTCTTGCGCTGCCGAGCCTCTGCTCTTCCACCACCAGCTCCCTTCGATCCCCATCGACATCGACAGGGAAAATTGAATACGAAAACACCGCGCCTTCTCTCGCTCCTCTCCATTCTCTTCGATTAATCGAAAAGAAAGGAGGCAGGGTAGGAGGCAGAGCGGCTGGCGAAAAGGAGGCTAGAGGGTTATACCACCTGCTGCGATGGGACAACAAACCAGCAGGAGCGGCAGCCGGCAGCGTCTCGCGGCCCGGAAAGGCGAGGTCAGATAGAAGTTGGGATTGAAGAAGATGAAGTGGGGCTCTGGCAGCGTCAATATCGCACCATACAATTCCTCAAAACTTCTACGTGATTGAAAAGTTTATCGAGGACTAGAGGCGACGTGACACGGGTGGGGGTGGGGGTAGATTATATTCTACATGAAGCGGGAAGAAAGGCAGAGGCCGGCCGGAATTATCCGTCGAATAATCACGTGGATGATTGTGCCGCTCGAAAGTTGACAAGGGGGCTGTTTCCCCCACCCCCTCCCCTCACTTCCCCCCAACCCCTCTCGCCGCGCCACCCGTCGTCGGGAACAACTAGGAAAAGTAGAGCGGCGCGCAGCAAAATAAAGGAGCCGAAGAGAGGGGGCTGAAAGTGGACGAGCGAGAGAAACACGCACACACACAAAGACGAACAATGTGTGTCCGTACACCGCCGAAAAGTTTTTCGTTCGTTTCTCTTTGCGGTGCCCGCGGAGCGTTGACACTTGTACTGCGGCGGCGGCGCTTCTGGCGCGCAGGTTGTATAGAAGCGCAAGAACATTGTCAGAGGGTAGTGATCCGGTGATGTATAGAGGGGAGACTCGGAGAGGGGTTTTAGCTGCAGAAAACAGAGTGATGTAACAAGAAAACGGCGATAATGATGCAACGAGAGAGAGAGAGAGCGTAGAGTGAGGGGGCGTCTTGAGCAATTGCCGCTCGGTGATGGATGACTGTGTTATTGCGAGCAATGGGGGCCAAGACACTGTGAAACTGTTGCGACCACGCCGACTGATTTCCACGTTTGTGTGCAGGATGTGAAACATGTATTTGTTTCTGGTGGTGGTGGTTTGTTTGTTGGTCAGGAGTGTACTTCTGGCAACGCTTGATCGACGGCCTCAACCCCTGGCCAAGCTCACTTTGGTAGGCTGCTTTACATACTCACTGTTAAAATGTTGTAAGGAAGAACAGTTTGCCTACGGTTCGTCCTGTATTTTTTATGTACGAGCTAGACCGTAAAGATATGGACCGTACTACTTCAGTGTCTAAGTGAGTCAAGTGCTGTATTGACCAAAAATACAAATTGACTGGGTGCACTGTAGACATTCCGTGTGGGTTTTTCTAACAGTGCTTTAGGAAGGGGACGTGCGGGTTTCCTTCTGCGAGCGGGAGACCAGGGGACCCGCCCCCTGTCAACCACAACGCATAAACGACTGGCGCCGCACCGAGCTGCGACGTACCGCACACGGGCTGCAGGCTGCCTCGCCGCGCTGACGGCCATGGGAGCAGAAACAGTTTTACTGCCGTACATGGGTGCGGGAGCCGCCCCCGGCTCCTGATGTGCTCCCACTGGTCCTGCTGTCGGCCGTTTGTACTCGCCTCGGCAGCAAACCTTTTTCTCTGCAACCCCTCTCCGCGCCACGTGTTTGTTACCGCTGCTACCAATGCCCGCTACCACCGCCGTTTTTATTACTACCCTCGACAGCAAACTTGTTTCTTTGCAACCCCCTTTCGCTCTCCGCCCGCCCCACATGTTTGCTCCCGCCTGCTACCGATGCCGCTGCCGCTACCGCGCCGCCGTTTGTATTACTCCCGGAGCAATCTGTTCCTCTGTCCCAGACCGCACACGTGTGTGTGTGTGCGTATCTGCATGTGGCGTGCGCCCGACAGCGTGGCCCGCCCGGCATGTCGCATCCCGGGCGCGCGCGGGCGAGCAGCAGAGGGGCGGCCGGCCAGCCGGGGCAGGCAGGCAGCCGGGGCAGGCGGCCGGGCGAGCAGCCAGGCAGGTGGGCAGGCAGCCGGACGGTGACGAGCGGGTTTGGTTTAGTCGGAAATGGGGCGGAGCGGCCGCTTATTGCGCGGCAGGGTGGCGCGGCCGTGTGCGCCCCGCAACACTGTGAGCAGCAGAGCAGTACACACTAATCCTTAAATCAGTTTTTCGTGCAGTGAGCACAACACACTAAACCCTTATGCATTTTATCGGGCATAAACATGCAGATGTTTATACATCCATTAGTATGC